AGCTTATGGGCTTCAATCCCATCCCCCTCGATGTGCTCCAGACCCTTTCTCTTGCTAAGGCCTTAGTCAGTGGATCTGCAAGATTATCACAAGATTTAACATAATCAACATTAATGGTACCGCTTGTCAAATATGATCTCATAGTACTATGTTTTCTCCTTATAGGTATGGATTTACCATTGTAATAACGGTTTTGTACTCTACCAATTGCAGCGGTGCTATCACAATGAATTAATAGAGGAGGAATTGGTTTTTCAAAATAAGGAATTTGAAATAATAAATCTCTCAACCAATTTGCTTCCTCACTGGCTAAAGCTAAAGCAATTAACTCAGCCTCCATGGTAGAGTTAGCAATTATTGTTTGCTTTTTCGATTTCCAACAAATAGCACCACCTCCTAAAGTAAAAATATAACCTGTAGTAGAACAGGAATCACCAGATAAAGTGTTCCAATCTGCATCAGAAAAGCCTTCGAGTACAGCAGGATATTTTTCATAAAATAAGCCATAGGTTTTTGTACCAAGTAAATACCTCACAACTCTAGTTATGGCATGCCAATGTTCTTTACCTGACTTGCTTGTAAACGTGCTAAGTACTCCTACTGCATATGCAATATCAGGCCGAGTACAATCAGTCACATATCTCAAGCTTCCAATTAAGCTAGCATATTCCTTTTGATTTATCACATCATTGTCACTTTGTACAGGAAATAAGTGAACACTTGAATCAAAAGGGGTTACAACATGCTTGCAATCAATAAAATTATATTTTTTTCAAAATTTTCTCAAATAATGTGACTGGTCAAGGAAAATTCCATCACATGTTCTAGTAATCTTCATTCCAAGAATGAAATTTGCCTCTCCTAAATCTTTTATGTCAAAATGGCTACTAAGCATGATTTTAGTTTCTCCAATAACATTCATGTTAGAGCCAAATATTAACAAATCATCAACATAGAGGCAAACAATTACATGTGAATTATTCCAAGACTTATGATAGATGCACTTATCATATTCATTCGATTTAAAACCATTTTCTATCATGCAGGAATCAAACTTTTCATTCCATTGCTTAGGTGCATGTTTCAATCCATATAGGAATTTAGTAAGTTTACACACTTTACTTTCTTGGCCAGCTTCTATAAAACCCTCAGGTTGATCCATATAAATTTCTTCATTTAGGTCCTCATTTAAAAAAGTAGTTTTTACATCCATTTGATGAACATGCAAATCAAAAATTGCAGCAATAGTAATTAAAAGTCTAATGGATGTAATTCTAGTTACCGGAGAAAGAGTATCAAAAAATTCTAGGCCTTCTAGTTGCTTAAAACCTTTAGCAACTAACCTAGCTTTATACTTATCAACCGATCCATCTGGTTTTAACTTTTTTCTTAGGACCCATTTGCACCCAATTGTTTTACAACCTGGTGGTAAATCAACCAACTTCCAAGTTTTATTAGAAATTAGTGACTCCATTTCATCATTTACGGCCTCTTTCCAGAAAATAGCATCAGGCGATAATAAAGCTTCTTTTAAAGTAAGAGGGTCATTTTCAATATTAAAAACATAAAAATCAGGACCAAAATCTTTTTCTATTCTAGCTCTTTTACTTCTTCTTAACTCAAAAGCATCATTTTCTTCATTTTCGCAAAATAGAAGTAGAAGAACTAGGCATAGACAAAAAATTATCTTTATCTCTTTGACCCCCACTATTTCTAGACTCAAATGGAAATTTATTTTCATGAAAAATAGCATCACCTGATTCTATAATTATATTCTCTTCCAGATTTAAAAATCTATAGGTTGTACTATTAGAAGCATAACCAAGAAAAGCACAAGTGGCAACTTTTTTACCCAATTTTGAAATTTTAGGATCCTTTAGCCTAACATAGGCTAAACAACCCCAAACTTTCAGATAACCCAAATTTGGCTTGTAATTTTTCCACAACTCAAATGGTGTCAACTTTGTTTTCTTATGAGGCACCCTATTCAACACATAACATGCAGTCAAAATAGCTTCACCCCACAAATTTAAAGGTGCATTTGACTCAATAAGTATGGCATTAGTTAACTCTACCAAAGTTCTATTTTTTCTTTCAGCCACACCATTTGATGCTGGAGAATAAGGTGGAGTAGTTTCATGAATTATTCCCAATGATCTCACAAAAGAATTAAATTCATTAGACTCATATTCACGGCCTCTATCACTTCTAATTCTTTTTATTTTCTATCAAATTGATTTTCAACCTCATGAGATAATTTTAAAATTTTCAAATGTCATCTACTTTTATTTTTCATTCTAAATTAANGGCCTCTATCACTTCTAATTCTTTTTATTTTTCTACCAAATTGATTTTCAACCTCATGGAGATAATTTTTAAAATTTTCAAACGCATCATTTTATTTTTCATCAAATAAACATATGTGAATTTAGAGAAATCATCATTAAAAGTGATAAAATATCTATTTCCTCCACGGGTTAAAATTCCTCCAAGTTCACAAATATCAGTGTGAACTAATTCTAACAATTCAGATTTTCTTTCAACTTGAAAATGAGGCCTTTTAGATATTTTGGCTTTACTACAAGCCTCACATTCTTCAAAATTCTTTTTAATCATTGGGATTAATCCTAAACTACTCATGATTCCCACCTAACGATTATTAATATAACATAAACGAACATGCCAAAAATTATTAGAAGAAAGCATATAAACATAACTTGAAGAAGTTTTATTCATCTCAACATTCAACTTGAACATCCCATCACATGCATAGCCCTTACCCACAAAAATACCCTTTTTAACTATTACATATTGATCACTTTCAATAACTAGTTTGAAGCCTGCCTTGTTAAGAAGAAAAGTAGACATTAAATTTTTTCTCGTTGAAGGAGTATAAAGTACTTCTTTCAACGTTAATACTCTTCCTGAAATAAACTTCAACTCGACCTCTCCCTTTCCAAGCACCTGGGTAGTGTGAGAATCACCAAGCATGATGGTTTTGGGCTCCTCAAATGGAGTATACACTTTAAACCAATCTCTATCATAGCAGACATGAAGGTTTGCTCCAGAATCAGCCCACCATCCATCAACATTTTCTACCATGTTAATGTCTGTTATCACTGCCACAAGTGGCTCTTCAGTAACGTTTGCCTGTGGTGTTGTACCACGTTTCCGAAATTTATAAAATCGAGCAATATGCCTACTCTTGCCACAGACAAAGCATGGTTTCGCAATTTAAACTTGTTGATTCTGTGCTTGGTTGTTTCCACCATTATTCTTCTTGATATGTCTACCATAATTTTTTTTAAAAGTTTTTTTCTTCGGCTTCAAAGAAGTATTTTTGTGAGTTTCGGGAGTAATATTATTTGAAGTAATTAAATTTACCTTTGTAGTGACGGATTGTAGAGTGCTCTCTTCTGATTGCATAAGTACATCTTGGCCTCTCGCCTCTTGTTCCTTGCGAATCCGCATTATCAACGTCTCAAGTGAAGTTTCTTTTTATTTGTGCCGCATAGTTTTTTGAAATTCCCTCCATGAAGGTGGTAGTTTATCTATTATGCCACAAATAATAGGTTGTCTTCAATTTTAATATCCTCGGATCTGAGCTCTCCAATGATCATTATGAAGTCTTGAGCTTGGTCTACTACAGATTTGTTATCCATCATTTAAAAACGAAAAAATCTGCTAGCAGCATATTTTTCGCACCTGCCTCCTCGGTATCATACTTACTCTGCAAAACTTTCCAAATTTTCTTTGCAGTAGAGTAAGTTCTATCATAATAATCATAAAAACTATCAGATAGACAATTAAGAAGATAATACCGACACTTGTATGAGTCATCGTTGTATTTTTCAGTTTTTTCTTGAAGGGCAATTAGCTCATCATCATTCATGGAGGAGTTGTCTACTTCGCTAGGATTCTTCTCAGTTAAAACGTAAGAAACATTGAGAAGACTCAAATAAAAAAGTACTTTACCCTTCCATCTCTTGAAATGAGTATCGTTGAAACGGAATGGCTTATTGAGATCTCCCACGTTGATATCTGCAGATTTTTCAACTGTTGCCATTTGAATCTCCTTAAAATTGTTGGTGAAAATACAATTACAGTTGAAAAAATAAAATGAATAAAACAAAATATCTTCAGGCTGAGGCGCGGATCTCGCTCTCTTTAAGGAGATTCAAGCCCACTGCAGCAAAGTTTTCATTGGTCCAGCAGTAATCCTCTTGTCCTGTCTCCCCCAGGATACAACAGCCCGATCACGTCGTATGACTCGAACAAACTCTGAACAAGTTATTGAGTCCAAAACTCCACCAAGATGAATACCTTCCTTCAACAAAAGTAAAAAAAAAAAACTCTCTTCTTCTTTTTTCACAACTTTAACCTCACTTTATAGAAACACTCTACAATTATTTTTTTTTCATCCCACAATATGGAAGAAAGACTCCTATTTATAAGTGTAGGAATTCTTCCTTAATTGAAAGAAAGTGGGGTAATAAGTTATGATATCATGGAGAACATGGGATAATTAGTGGTAGAACATGGGAGAAGAGTTATGGCCATTTTCTACTTCATGGAGTAGTGGGAGTTATAGGAGTTATGGCCATTTTCTACATCATGGAGTAGTGGGAGTTATAGAAATTTATTTTAATAATAAAATGCAATTACACTAACACACACTTTGTTGGAAGTGTTTATTAGGCGTGTTTTTACCAATTGGAGGTGCTTAAATGGAAAAAACAAAGGTTGTGGGGCCAGCTTTCAAAATCGGGGTAAGAACATGTGTCAATACTAAATACCATTAAGCCGAATATAATTAGTTAACTTAACTTGTAATTATTTTTAGGAACTTGATTGTGTAAATAATTTATACCATTATTATATACTACTACAATTTAAATCCATAATCTAAACTCATTTTACTTATCTACTCAAAAGAAGGTAACGTAGAAATAGAACGTTTAGGGCAAATTTATATACAAATGATGAACAACAATCACAGAGAAGCAACCAATAAAGCAGCTGAGCCAATCTTATTAATGAAACAAAAACGAAATAGAAATAAAAATCAAAAACTTTTGGATGAAATATATTGTAATTAATTTGCATAAAACATAAGTAAGATATATTTTGAAGAGGGTGACTCTAATTATTCTATGGAAGCCCACACTTTGCTTGGACGGCCAAAGTCTTGAATGTATTAGGGCAAGGATCCTTGCTTAGCTCGTCAAAAGCTTCTCTCTCAACTGGGATTGCACATGTATTCTTCCCTAAACAATGCTTTTCTACAACTTTGAGACTGTTGGAAGAAGTGCAGTTCCCAACATATAAGTTTCCACAAGCTCCATCTGGATTACCATAGCTAGCAAACTCAATTTTCTTGATCACTTGATTGTTTTCTGGGCAAGCTAATTGAGCTCCTGACTTTAGATCTTCCACGATAGCATTGAATTGACTTCCGGACCTCTCAAAAGACTTAACGCTAGGAGGTCGGTACTCGGAGATAATACTGCAGATTGTGTCTCTGTTAACTGTTTGGACTTCAATGGTTTCTGGGTGACCTCCGGTTTCCTCAAAGATAACTAGGAGATTATCCTTTGGCTTCAAGAAAGCTCTTGGAATATGATACCTGAAACAATAATGTCTATGTAAACAACAATGATAGTACATACAATTATTAGATATAATTAAGTAAAAAAATGTTCTCCTACAGCAGGTTGAGATTTAATCAATTCTCACCGCCGTCTGTCATTAAAGACAATTTAAACTTGTTTGGCTATGAAAAAGAACCAAAATTATCTTAAACTTTTAAATGGGATGATCACATAATTCAATACATATTAAAGTTTCTACTTACTCAGATTGAGTGGGCTGTCCAAGAGGGGAGAGGAATGATACCCAGTAACGACCAAGGCTATTACCATTAACCCACATCATACCCTTTTGCATTTTGTCCATCTTTAAGGCCACTGGATTGTTGCCTTCAGGGGCATCAAAGTAGGTCTGTAACCCACAAATTTGAAATTAACACATACGTAGTTAAATATGGACGATAAACTTAATCTTGATGCTTAGAAATTACGCAAAAAGAAATTACACTTGTGCACTTACCTTGTACCAAGTGATAGGTCCTGGTGGAGGACCAGACACAGGAGTCCACTTCACTTTCTTGGCACCTTCTTCTGTGAATATTTGTTCTTTTTCACCGGATAGACCAACCTTTAAATTAAAGTAGCCAACAATAATCATGTTATATTATACATATTATACTCCAATTTTTTAAAATGTTAGTAAATAGAATCTAAACTCAAATAGAAATACATGTTTACCTTGTGTCCCCAGTTGTTTAGGGTTATGTCAAGGGTTCCAGCCATCAAGCCTTGTAGAGTTATACCTCGGGGTCCAGCAAACCTCTTTTCCATATAGGCTCCGCTATTCTGCACTCATATATATGTATCGTATGAGTTCTTTCTCTTTTCGTTCTTATTTTTTTGAAGTTATTGCTAAATAAAAGAATACCGGAAATCCAATTGTCTCAGCTAAAAGGGTGATGTGGTTAGTTCCAGGTTTCAAGATGACAGGTTTTTGGAAAACAAAGCTCTTCTCAATGTTGTTACCGTGTCCAAACCCTGAAATTAATTTTATTACCAACAAATTCCATTAGTAATCTTAACATAGTTCTGTGAAAATAAGTTGTCATCTTGATATATGTCAATAAAAGGTGTCACTCACCAACGAATTCGCCATTAACGAAGGCTCCCAATGCATGACCCATACTTGCGATTGACATGACGGGGAGGATGTCAGGTCTCATGGGCAAGTCATGACGATTAAAGTTGATGCTGTGATTTGTAACAATTCCAGTATTATTAAGACAACAAACCAAATTGATAATAGTAATAATTAGTAACGACAACAACAATAACAACCTAACATAATAAGTACCTTGTGCTGTACCAAGCATAGTCTGAAGTATCTTTTGTCAAACTATAGAGCTCCAGGGGTTCTCTGTTCTTAAGTGGCAAGTCATTGATGGTTGGAACTTTCTCTTGGTACATTTCCCATTTGAGATTCTTTGCTTTCTCTGATGCTATGAAGTTCCTTGAATTATGTTGGGCAACAACCTGATAAAATTAGAGTTGATATTTTTTGTTAACCTTGATTTTTCAAATCAATAAAAAAAAATGAAACTTTTTGACTAATTAAATAATGTTTTTATTTGATGTTACCGTTTGGGTGTTGTAAACAACAGTCTTGCAATCAGGAAGAATGCTAACAGACTTCTCCGGTAAGTAATATTCTTGACCCCTGAATTTAATTGTGGATGGTAGCTTGGTATGATTATTGGTCAAAAAGGCAGCACAATCACTTCCGGGCTTCTCCCAAACAGTAATCTGCAAAGTAATTTATAAAAAGTGCAAATTTTGAGACACTCACTTCTTTTCTTGTTCCGTTATATATACAGTAACTTTTTCACTAATAGTGAATTTTAATATGTTATACCACGTATATATATATATATATATATATATATATATATATATATATATATATATA